AATGCGATCGAGAGCTCTGACGCGGAAGTCTCGAACAGTTCTTTCATCGATGTGCATCTTCTCTACAATCTCCAGTACGTCGTCTTTCGAGATGCCATTCCGTGTTGGGGGATGTGCAAGCTTAGTTATCAACTCTTCTGCCATGCAACATACATACACACCACAATCCTCTCTGTTACTTTGTTGTGAACACCTCGCATGGATGAGTCCACGACCAAACACGTCTCCGCAAGTGTTCCACGACTTGTCCACCAGTTGTCGTGTGACATCTGGACCCCTTCTGTTGTCATTGAGGTACTCGTGCCACAATAATGTCCGCAACGCCTTCCAATCCGGACTTGCATAACCGTGACACGAGCCGACGATTATGGCGTTGGGCCATGTGCCGTCGGTCCAAAACTCCCTTAAATTCAACAATATGAGCAGCATCCAATGATGCTTGTGGTTAATTGGAATAAGCACAACCGGTGCAACCTCGAGGTTTTTACATTGTCGATGGACTTTGGTCGTCTGACTCTTCACACGCAACTCCCATCCCCTTTTCGATGTGTCACCTTGCTGATTAGCGAGCAATTGCGGATTCCAAAACGTTGTGCACACATGCACTTTTGCGGTGTCCTTACCTTGACATTGCTCTTCGTATACTGACTGCAAATACATGTCCATTACATTGTCATTGAGCCACTTCCCAACGGCCAAGCACATCACATCGGTCTCCCCCAGTCGAATCTCCTCTCTTCTGCCTTTCCATGTGAATAGATATATGTTGGACTCGTCAACAACCTTCAACCCGTCCGCCGAGCTTGATGTGTTCTCGCCCTTCTTTCCCTGTCTCGTCTTCCCACACGACTCTGAATGTCCCAGGTCCGCTGAGCGGATTGTTCCCCTTGTCGCATACAAGTACATCCTGTTGTACCACGGGTCCTTCCGTGACAGGTGCTCCCATCTCTCCAACATAGCCTCTGTTGTCATTATTCTGCAATTCGCCGCTGTCCTCTCTGTTGTTTCTTCGGCTTCTGTCATTGTGGCTTCTGGGCTCTTTTCCGTGTGCGTCGCTCCCTTGTCCAGCTTTTGCATTTCCACTTCGCTGCGCTCAACATGGTCTTCTTTCCTCGGTATTGTTTTCTCTCGATTACTCTCCATTGTGACGTCGGCCACGCTCTCACGACCAGGGTTGTTCTCTTCTGTTGTCCGCATTCGTGTTGTTTTTGATCGTTTCCCTCTTCGCGTGGTCACATCTCCTGCCACTGCTAATAGGTCAGTGTTGTTCCTCGTAATGAGTGACATTCTACCTGTGAACAATCCAGCAACATTTTCACGAGCTTTTTAGCGTCAGTTTCGGTTGTCGTTCCTTGGTCAAGCGATGACAGGGCTGAGAGAGAGAGAGAGAGAGAGAGAGAGAGAGAGAGAGAGAGAGAGAGAGAGAGAGAAAGTTGGGTGGTGGGGGTCATAAAGAGGTGGCGCGTGAGCGGCGTTCCTTTGATTGGCACGTACTACCCAACCGGACCGTGCTGTCACCGTTCAGCGCCGCGAGCGACATATCACAATACAAATATGTTCAAGTAAAAAGTGTCGTCACGTTGTCTTCCATATGTTGATGAACCCCACTTCAGTTTTGCGAAACATGGAGCAATGTGTACAGTGTTCGTGATGCTGTCAACGGAGATGACGCTGCACAGCTGGCGACCATTTATCACTTCCCATTTCAGTTTTTTGCACCCTGTCACATCTGCTCTTTCAGTGTCTGTCTCTTTGTACCATTTTACAAAGGCGCACTCGTGCGTGGTGGGCACTCCTTCCGTACAAGTGGTCATGACAAAAAACATTGCCACAAGTGCATACCACATACTTCCTGTCTGTGCCCTTACAAACACATCACTGCGCACCGCTTTCCCGTGGAAGTTGGGTGAAGCCCTTGCAGTTTGCACAAGTGCGCCTCTGGTTGTTCCATCGCCTGTTGCTGCGATGGCAAAATGCGTTCTAGTGCGTATTAACATGTCCTTTGGCTGTGGATTGCACCCGTTTTCCGACATGTACGTGTGAAGAGCTTCTCGAAATAACACCTTGCACGGGAGGGCATCCAATATTGCTTTGGCGGTTCCCGTCGCACCTTCGTTCCCATTTGTTCCTGCATTTTCAAGGGGGAAATATCGGAGTTGCATCTTTGCCGTGTCGCGTGCGGCAAGTGTGTTCATTCCACGTGCCGAGCACTCCATGACCGACGACCAATTTTCAGTTGTCCTCTTCCTGTGTTTCTGTGCACGGTCAATGTCGTCGTCGAATGCGACTGTCCTTCGCACGTGATTTATCATTTGAAACGAGGCTTTCGTTTGTTCTACGACAGGAAAGGCTGCTTGCAAAACTTCTGGTGGTGGTGCTCCCAGACATCGGCCGCGAAGCTGTCAGGGAGACCTGAACGTTCGATGCACGCCCTCAAATGCAGAAGGTCATGTAACTTCGACACTTTCCAGTTGGAGGTTTGATAACGACCCAGGACCTGTTTGAGGGTTGTTATGA